TCCCCAGCACCATTTACTGAATAGGTTCTCCTCTCCCCAGTGGTAGGTGGTGGAGGCTTTGTTGAAGATGAGTCGATTGAGAAATTGAGGTTTTGCTTCTGGAATCTCAATTCTATTCCATTGATCTATATGCCTGTTCCTATACCAATACCAAGCTGTTTTGATGATTATAGCTTTGTAGTAAAGTTTGAAGTCTGGTAATGTGATACCACCTGCTTTGTGTTTTTTGCTGAGGATTGTTCTGGCTATTCTTGGACGTTTGTGTTTCCATATGAATTCCTGTGTTGTTTTTTCTAGGGCTGACAAGAATGTTGCTGGTAATTTGATGGGTATTGCATTGAATCTGTAGATTGCCTTTGGTAGGATGGACATCTTCACAATGTTGATTCTTCCAATTCATGAGCATGGAATATTTTTCCACTTGTTTGTGTCATCTTTGATTTCTTTGAGCAGTGTTTTGTAATTTTCATTGTAAAGGTCTTTCACGTCTCTGGTTAGGAAGATGCCAAGGTATTTCATTTTTTGTGTGGCTATTGTGCATGGAATTATGCTTTTTATTTAGGTTTCTGTTTATTATTGGTATAAAGAAATGCGATTGTCTTTTGCACATTTATTTTATATCCTGAGACTTTGCTGAAGGCCTTTATCAGTGTGAGGAGATTTTTGACAGATTCTCTTGGGTTTTCAAGGTACACGATTATGTGATCTGCAAAGAGAGAAAATTTGATTTCCTCTTCTCCTATTTGGATACCCCTGATTGCCTTCTCTTCTCTGATTGCTCTAGCCAGGACTTCCATTACTATACTGAACAGGAGGGGTGAGAGTGGGCATCCTTGTCTTGTTCCAGTTTTCAGGGGAAATGGTTCCAATTTTTGTCTGTTTAGGAGTATGCTGGCTGTGGGTTTTTTGTAGATGGCTTCTACTACTTTGAGGTATGTTCCCTGTATGCCTAGATGTTCGAGGGTTTGTATCAAGAAGGGGTGCTGGATTTTATCAAAAGCTTTTTCTGCATCTAATGATATAATCATGTGGTTTTTGTCTTGACATCTGTTGATGTATTTAATTACATGTATGGTTTTAAGAATGTTGAACCAGCCTTGCATCCCAGGGATGAAGCCTACTTGGTCATGATGGATGATTTTTGAGATGTGTTGTTGAATCCGGTTTGCTAGGATCTTGTTGAGAATTTTAGCCTCTGTGTTCATCAAAGATATTCGCCTGTAGTTCTCTTTCTTTGTTGGATCTTTACCTGACCTGGGTATAAATGTGATGTTAGCTTCATAAAATGATTTGGAGAGGGTTCCATCTTTCTCAGTTGCCTGAAATAGCTTCATCAGGATTGGAATCAGCTCCTCCTTAAATGTCTTGTAGAATTCTGCTGGAAAGCCATCTGGTCCAGGGCTTTATTTTGTAGGTAGTTTTCTTATTACATAGTCAATTTCCTTGATTGTTATTGGTCTATTTAGGCTCTCAATTTCTTCTTGTTTCAACCTAGGCAGGTTGTGTGATGACAGAAAGTCCTCCATTTCCTTGAAGTTTTCAAGTTTGTGTCCATACAAGTGTACATAGTAGTCTCTAATGGTCTTTTGTATTTCTTCAGGGTCAGATGTGACTTCATCTTTTGTGTTTCTGATTGTGCTTATTTGGATGTTTTCTTTCTTTTTCATGGTCAGTCTAGCTAGGGGACCATCGATCTTGTTTATCCTTTTGAAGAACTAGCTTTTTGTTTCATTAATTTTTTGTACTGTCTTTTTGTCTTCTATATTCTGGATTTGGGCTTTTACTTTGGTGATCTGGATTCTTCTGCTGAAATTAGGGTTTTCGTGGTCTTGCTTTTCCAGTTTTCTTAGGTGGCCTGTTAGGCTGTTAATCTGTGCTCCTTCCTTTTTCTTCATGTGTGTTTGTAGGGATCTAAATTCCCCTCTTACTACAGCTTTTAAGGCATCCCAGAGATTTTGGTAAGATGTTTCTTCATTTTCATTTGTTTCCAGGTATCTTTTGATCCCTGTTTTGATTTCTTCATTGACCCAGGAGTTGTTTAGCATCATGCTGTTTAGTGTCCATGTCTTTGTGGGTGTTGGGGGGACTTTGTTGGTGTCAATGTTTATTTTTATTCCACTGTGGTCTGAGAAGGTGCATGGTAGAATTTCAGTCCTTTTAAATCTGCTTGTGCTTGATTTTTGGCCAATTAGGTGGTCAATCTTAGAATACATTCCATGCGGTGATGAGTAGAATGTGTATTCTGTGGTCTTTGGATGGAGTGTTCTGTAGGTTTCAATTAAGTCCATTTGTTCCAGAGTCCCATTGAGGTTCTGGATCTCCTTGCTGATTTTTTGTCCTGATGATCTGTCTAGGGTTGTGAGTGGGGTATTAAAGTCCCCAGTTATGATGGTGTTAGAGTCAATATCTTTCTTTAGTTTTCCTAGGAGTTGCTTTATAAAAGTTGGTGCACCTCTGTTAGGTGCATATATGTTTAGGATAGATATTTCTTGTTGATGGAGTGAAACTTTTATCATTATGTAGTGACCCTCTGTATCTTTTTTAATTTTTGGTAGCTTAAATGGTATTTTGTCTGAAATTAGGATCGCAACTCCTCCTTTCTTTTCTGTTCCATTCACCTGCAAATTTGTTTCCCATCTTCTTACTTTGAGTCTGTGCATGTCCTTTCTAGTGAGATGGGTCGCTTGAAGATAGTATATTGCTGCCTGGTGATATTTTATCCATTTTGCCATTCTATGTCTTTTCAGTGGTGCATTTAGTCCATTCACATTCAGGCTAATTATTGAAATGTGAGAGTTTGTCCCTATCATAGAGTTCTTATAGAGTTGTTCTTCCACTTAGTTTATTGTCTTTCTTTTGTTTTGGGGGTTGGTTCCTGTGTATTTTATTCTATTTTTCCCCCTTTTCTTCTGTGTTTAGTACTTTCCTAAGTGTTTCATGTAGAGGTAGTTTGGTGCCAGCATAAGTTCTTAGGGATTGGATATCTGGAAAGATTTTAATTCTCCCTTACGATGATGTTTAATCTGACTGGGTAGGTTATTCTTGGTTGAAATTGTTTATCTTTTAGGACTTTGAAGATAGGGCTCCAAGCTCTCCTAGCTGCAGGGTTTCTGTAGTTAAATCTGCTGCTATTCTAATTGGTTTTCCATGGTAGGTGATCTGCCCTTTTTCTCTTGTTGCCTTTAGGATTTTTCTTTTATGCCTGCTTTGTTTAGGTGAATTATTATGTGTCTAGGAGTTGGTCTTCTCATTTGTTGTCTTGCAGGGGTTCTCTGAATCTCTTGTGTTTGAATTTTTGCATCATTGATTAGACAAGGGAAGTTTTCTTGAATGATCTCATGGAAGTTTTGTTCCAGTGTGGTCTCTGTCTCTCTTTCTGCCTCAGGAAGGCTGATTACTCTTAGGTTCGGTCTCTTGAAGTAATCACTCATCTCTTGAAGGTTTTGGTCTGTCTTTTTGAGCTTGTTTTCTGTGTTTTTAAGAGTTTGGGTTAGTTCTATATTTTGACCCTCAAGCTCCGAGATTCTTTCTTCTGCTTGGGTAATTCTGTTTTCCATGCTTGTCAGTTTGTTATTTATTTCATTCACAGTATTATTTGTTACTGTTATCTCAGTTATCAGCTCCTTTCTAGTTTCTTCTTGAGTCTCCTCAATTCTTTTTAATCTCTCCATTAAAGTCTTGATATCTAGGTTTGTAGTTTGATACTAGTCATTCTGGGGGCTCTTCATTGTTTGCATTCTGAAGTCAGTTTTCTCAGTGTCTGCCCTCCCAGGGGTCTGGGAGAGTCCCATATTCTTCTTTTGGTTTTTCTTCATTTGTGTACATTTTTCTCTCATCCCTGGAGCAAAAGGAGGTACAAAAGAGGAAAATAATGGAGGAAAGAGGGGTCAGTAGGAAATTAGAAAGAGAGAAGAGTGAGAGGGAAAACAGACATACATACCAACCAACAGGTGAAAAAGAGACATAAGGCCGGTGAGAAGTGAAAAAAAAACACAGAAGAAAAATTCCCTAAAGAATACTGGTAGTTACGCAGAGACAGACCAATAAGATCATGAAACAGATAGTGTAAGTTAGAAAGCAAACAATAGTGAGCAAAACGTATAGTCAGAATGATAAGACCAAAGGTCAAAATAAGAGATCAGACTAGTTCTGTAATCTTTCCTTAGTGGCTGAAGTCACTTGACCTCTGATCTCCAGTCTCTCCCCTCTGTTTTTGTTGCAGGCAGTTAGCCTGCTGCCTGGGAGGTCTGTGACTCTT